CGATCCCAGGACCCTGAGATCATGACCTGAGCCAAAGGCAGATGCTTAACCATCTGAGCCACCCCAGCGCCCTAAATATCTTTCTATAACATGATTTTTAGTAGTGGCTATACCATAGTTTCTGGTGTGGAATACCATAATGCATTTAACCAATTATTTCTAACATTTGTTCTTATCAATAATAGATATACACCTTATACCCATCCACTTCTGATTAATTTGTCACAGTAAATTCCTAGAAATTGAATTACTGAGGGTGTAATCATTATGTGTATCCATACAATATGTATGTATCCATATGTTGCCAAATTGCCCTAGAGGAAATTCGAAACAACTTACCCTCATACTTGTATCCCATGGCTGATGCTGCCTACTATTATTTAAAAGCAAGTGGACAAAAACCTCTACCATGTTAATAGAAAAAACCCACAGTAGCTCATTTCTCCCCCTTCTCCTCTCTGATGAAAATGGAAAGTCATGCTTTTTGTATCCGAGCTGGGCTGGCCTCTCACTCTGGGAGCTTTGGACCAGGCCTGGACAGAATTCCCATATCTTAACTGAATTTAGGGAGATGGGTCACCAGTGTCAGTGCTAAGGGCATTGAGACTTGGGCCAACTTTGCCCTCAGGTGCACAGTGAGTGACCTTCTCAGGCTGGGGATGCAAGGGCAAGAGGAATCTGTTCCCCAAATGGGGCAGCCATTCAGGAAGAGTGATGAATGCTGCATGCCCTCATCTAAGGGGATGAGGTGGGGGGTCCCACATTTGATTAGCACCAAGAATCCAGAGAGTTCTTGCTCAGAGGGTGAGGGCTTCTAGAAGGACACTCAGACTCAGCAGGGAGCACACACGGACTTCTGGGGCTCTTTCTGCTTGTCGAGTTTTCCGCCTGGAGTCTTCAACCCAGATCAGATGTGTCTTCACACTCACTGAGTGATTCTAATGGCTGGTCTTGACTCTTCCCTCCTTGCTAGGCATTTAGCTAGAAGGATTATTCAAACACCAAAACAGGTATTATTAATACAGTTTTACAAATGGGGAAATCAAGACTGAGAGAGGCTAATGATTTGCCCAACATCACATAGCTAGTATGTGGCTGAGCTAAAATGCACACTCAGATTTCCTTACCTCTAAAACTGGGTTCTACCCACTCCACTCCACTGACTGGGTGAGTTTACTCAAAAAGAAACGGAGCCAGGTGTTTGTTAAAGGTGGAAAGAAAGATTTTACTCAGGTTTCCGTAGCGGGGAAGAGAGACTCCAGGGTAACCATGTTCAACTCTGATCTGTATGGAGATGACTGGGCCTTTTAGAGGGAAAATGGGAGGGTGGACAATAAGCCGGAAGTCCGGCAGAATCAGGGGAGGGGAAAATTCCAAAAAGGGGATGGGGGCTGTTTTCTGAAAACTTAGGCAAGGCAGGTGTTGGGTCAGTGTGGGTCTCAAGCTGTAAGTTCTTTGGGCTGCCTTGAGCTTTCTTGGGCAGGAAGTCAAGAGGAAGCAGGAGGCTGGGTCATCCCAGGGAAACCAGGCTGGGGTTGGTGTAAGTCTCGTAGTGTGGGGGCAGGGCGTTGATGAAATAGTTTGTGCCACGAGTTTGCAGTTCTCATAGGTCAAGTTTGAGGCCTGGTTGAGAAGAGGACCCAGAGGAGCCTGTCTAAAGTCTGGTCAAGGAAAGAGTCTGTCAGCTCCCAGCAGTCTGGAGCATGGTGAAAATGAACCAGTTCATGGGTTTCTGTTGTGGGATTGGAGAGGGGATGGGGCATGATGTTAGTTAGACCCAGAGGACTGAGGGTGCAACATGGCCACTAAAGCCCTGCTCCCACCCTCCAGGGAATAGAGCACTGAGCAAAGACATGGAAGCCCGGATGTATGAAGCAAACCAATATGGCAGGTTTGGGGAGAGACTGCCAGTCAGGGGGCCCCTGAGATGCCCAGGCTTCTCCCAGCGCTCTGGGTTTGCAGACAGTGGGGCAGAGCCTACAAAGCTCCCTTTGTCTGGACCAGACTGGGTTGGAAGTGTCACTGCCTCTGGTCAAGAGAACAGGTGGGGCTGACACAGAGCGAAGGGAGACCTGGATGGCCTGGCACTTAATTCAGACTATGATGAGAAAGTCTTCCAGGATTCCCAGGAGTTCGAGGCGGGTTGTGCTTGCCTACGTTACTGAGCACCAGGAGTTAGCTTCATTTCTCCACCGTTCTTATCTCTTCACTTGTGAACACCATGCATGGCAGGCTCATGGTAGTAAATATGACATAGTCTGGGACAGTCCTGGTCGCAAGATGTCACGCAGCTGGTCTAGCGTGGGGTCCTGTCCAATGTAACGTTATCACAGAGTATGTGTTTGTTATATTTATGTTCCATTTATTTATTTAATATTTTAGCACAATACATTTCATTTATTTATTTTTGTTTCAAATTTTTATTTAAATTCTACTCAGTTAGCTTGTGTAATATTGGTTTCAGGAGTAGAATTCGGTGACTCATCACTTACATATAGCACCCAGTGCTCATCACAAATGCCCTCCTTAGTACCCATCCCCCAACTAGCTCACCCCCCCACCCACCTCCTTCCATCAATCCTCAGTTTTCTTCTCTATAGTTAAGAGTCTCCTATGGTTTTCTCCCCTCCCTTTTCTTTTTCTTTCTTTTCCTTTCTCCTGTGTTCATCTGTTTTGTTTCTTAAATTCCACATGAGTGAAATCATATGGTATTTGTCTTTCTCTGGCTGACTTATTTCACTTAGCATAATACCCTCTAGTTCCATCCACGTCATTGCAAATGGCAAGATTTCATTCTTTTTTGTGGCTGAGTAATATCCCATTGTATTTATACCAAATCTTCTTTATCCATTCATCAGCTGATGGACATTTAGGCTCTTTCCATAGTTTGGCTATCGTTGATAATGCTGCTGTGAACATTGGGGTGCATATACCCCTTTGAATCTGTATTTTTGTATCCTTTGATAGTGCAATTGCTGGGTCATAGGGTAGTTCTATTTTTAACATTTTGAGGAACCTCCATACTATTTTCCAGAGTGGCTGCACCAGCTTGCATCCCTACCAACAGTGTAAGAGGGTTCCCCTTTCTCTGTATCCTTGCCAACTTCTCTTGTTCCTGCCTTGTTAATTTTAGCCATTCTGACGGGTGTGAGGTGATATTGTGGTTTTGATTTGTATTTCCCTCATGATGAGTGATGTTGAGCATCTTTTCATTCCCTCATGATGAGTGATGTTGAGCATCTTTTCATGTGTCTGTTGGCCATCTGGATGTCTTCTTTGGGAAAATGTCTATTCATGTCTTCTGCCCATTTCATAACTGGATTGTTTTTTGAGTGTTGAGTTTGGTAAGTTCTTTATAGATTTTGGATATTAGCCCTTAATCAGATATGTCATTTGCAAATATCTTCTCCCATTCCATTGGCTACTGTTTAGTTTTGTTGATTGTTTCTTTCTCTGTATCACAGAATATTTGGAAATTCTCACGTAACATCTGTGGATCTACAAGCCCAGATTGAGGATGCTATCCTAACACTTTGTTCTTCTGAAATATCTGCATTTGGGGTTGATCGTGTGTCCATCTGCAAACCTCCTCCTGAACTGCTTGTTGAATATGAGCCATAATGTTGTGCATTTTCAGGATCTGCAGAGATTGTTGTCTCGACAAAAGGAGTAACCATGGTCCCCGCCGGTTTAAAATCTTTGGGCTTAGCTGTGTCATCCATCAAAAGTGGCCTGGAGGAGACAACTGGAAAAGGTGAGTGGGAGCAGGCAGAGAAGCCTCTGTCCTCTCTCAGACTTGAGATCCTCTGGATGGGTTGGTAACAAAGGCCCTTAGGCCATGGTGTCATACCGTGACCTCTTCATGTCGGTGGGACTAGAGGGGACCACCCCTTGCCAGGTGAGGTCATGGGACACAGAGGGGACCCGACTTGCCTGTGGCCACTCAGCTGCTGAGCTGGGGAAAGGGGCCCACTGGCCTAATGCTCCCATCCCTCTTACTGGTGCCCAAGGGAAGAGCTTGGCATGGTGCACACCAGGTTGTTGCAAAGAAGGAAACACCTGGGCTTTCACTCCCTCCCCCTTCTCTCTCCTCTTCCCAGGGGCCCCACTAGTGGCCCTGCACCTGCAAGGAGCTATGGCCACAGAGGAGGGCTTTGTTAGTACCAGGCCAGCCCTCCACAGCATGCACTGCAGAGTGATGGAAAAAGCAGCATTTGAGAGGGAGGCTGGGCTGGGAGCTCTTCGCAAGGGCCCTGGCTTCTTGGTTCCCCCCGCCAACCCGCCACTGAACCTGTGATCATGGGGTCTGCACAGTGGACTGTAGCCAGGCTTGGCCAAAGTTGCAGGCAGAGAAGGAGGGGACAAGGGTGGAGAGGAGGGTGCAGGAGGGCAGAGGCAGGGGCAGAGAAAGAAAAATCAAGGGCTCTGAAGGCAAACCCAGGCAGAGTGTGCTAACCTGCTGGAGTCAGGAGGCCTAGGAGGACAGACAGGATGCCTCCAGGACGCTGGGCGCTGCCCGGGCCTCAGCGGGACATGGTCACTCTACTCAGCAATCACATGTGGCTGAAGAGCACCTCTGGTCCTGACAAGCCCCCCACCCTTCAGGGGGATTTAACCAGGAGTCTGGGCGGAGCTGTAGAGGCCTGGCAAGGAAGACTGGCTCTCTGAAAGCCAACTCATGCCAGACGGGATGCTAGACAGGGGGACTAGCCCGTAGCAGCTTTCCCAGCAGAAGGGCAATGGGAGGTGGGAACACAGCATTTCCTCGGATGTTCAGTACCCATCTGGATCACTGCCTGCTGGTGTGAACTCTGTCCTGATGTCCCCGCTCTCCTGACAGCCGTGTTTCTCCTCAGCCTGTGACAGGTTCACCTTCCTGCATCTGGGAAGCAGGGACAATGCATGGGTGATGCCTCAGCTCGGAGAGATGCTCTTCTGCCTGACATCCCGATGCCCAGAAGAATTTGAATCTTACGGCTGTTACTGTGGGCAAGAAGGACAAGGCGAGCCAAGGGATGCCCTGGACGGGTAGGGACATGTGAGGGTGGCAGGCCGGTGGTGCTGACTCTGCCCCCCGTGGGAGGTGATAACTCTCCTCTCCAGTGGGCATGGCTTCAGGCTTCACAGAGAGCACTGCCTGACTCGGGATGGCTGCTCACCATCATGGGCAGCTGAGGCTCAGACTTGTCCACGGTCACTCAGCGGTGAAGGGGCGGAGCCACACAGATCCTGACCTGTCTATGTGGTCTTTGGTCCAGGTCTTTGCCCTGCAGGGGACCACATGAAGGTTAGCTTCTTAATAACTTTTTTTAAAAAGATTTATTTACTTATTTTTAGAGAGAGATTGAGAGAGAGAGAGAGCGAGCAGTGGGGAGGGACAGAGGGCAAGGGAGAGAGAGTCTTAAGCAGACTCCGTGCTGAGCGCGGAGCCCGACATGGGGCTCAATCCCACAACCCTGAGATCATGACCTGAGCCGAAACCCAGAGTTGGACACTTAACCAACTGAGCCACCCAGGTGCCCCAGCTTCTCAATAACTTTTAAGTATAACTGCTCAATTTTATATCTGCCACTCTTGGAAAAATTTTCAGGGACCTCGTGCATTGGTGAGTCCATTCATTCATTTATGTATGCATTCAACCCTCCTTTCTTGAGCTTTTGCTCTGTGCCAGGCACTATGCTGGGTGGTGGAGACACACAAATGGTTAAACCTGAAGGAAGCAGAGGGAAAGAAACTCCCGGCATCCCCAGAGGAGCTGCCTGGTGCAGGAGATGGGCACTTCAACCAAAAGACCACCAACATCATAAATGCGGCCGTCAAAACAGGGGGAACAGTGGAGGAGTCAACCTAGACATGAGCTGCAGGAATATTCCAAGAGTGGAGTTGATAAGACGTAAAGCCTGGCCACACGTGGGGACTGTCCCAGCCCGTGGCCAGTGGGCTCTGCGCTCAAAAGGTGTAGGACCCTTGGGATGGTGGGGTTGCTGAAGGAAAATCCACAGCTGGAGTAGATACTGGAGACAGGGAGAAGACAAGGCTCAGTGTCGTTAATATGCAGCCTGAAGTGATGGTAGGCACATGGGGCACGTCACCTGCAGGTGTCTGGCTGGCTGTGTCACTCCCCCAGCCACCCACCTCCCTCCCCTTTCTCCCCTCACCGCTCACGGCCATCTGGCCCTACCATCCGACCAAGCTCTGCAGGGCATCCGGTGGGGAGGAAGGTAGGGGCTCTGCTCCCAGGCCACCTTCAAAACTTACCTCCCACCGGGTGACACGGAAGATGTGTCTACTCTAGCAGAGTGTAGACCACACTGTGGAATCATAAGCATGTCTACATGAGCAAGTTCAACAATGTGGGCTCCACTCTCCGAGACAGAGTACTCAGTGAGACAAAGCAAGCGGTAAGAGTCTAGGCAGAAGTCACTGTGTCCTGTTGAACCCCATGGAAAGAAACTGGGGTCGCTCCTGACCACTGGCCATATTTCACAAAAACATGAGATTTGATCGGGCAGGCAAGTAAGTTACAGTATGGCTTCCCTGACCTCCATTGGGAAGAAATTAAAACAAAGCCATCGCCTTGACCAAGGAAGAGTTACTCAAGTTGATCTCATCTTCTGCAAGGGTGTCTTTTCAAAACTATGTATACTTTACCTTCTGGGCAATTTGAGTGACTTCTAATGGTATTTTGATCATAGGTGATTTCTGATTTATTCACTGACTTTAGATTTTAACTATGATATTAGCTTTCCACCACCACCTGCCCCAGGCAGGTGCACGCACCAAGAGTGTGTGGCTCAGCCGTGAAGACAACTGAGTGGGACTGCCATTTGTAACCGACACAGACCTCCAGCCATTGGCCACTGTGCCAGGCACAGTGGTGGTGCTCCCCCCATTGCTGGCAACATGGGAAGCTGATACTTGGCTCAGCACAGGCTCTACAGAAAGGCATCCAGCCATGACGGAGCCCTGCTCTGGCTGTGGCCTCTGATGCCATGTAAGAACTATTTGAGGATGGGGTGAGTGAGTGGTGATAGGAAGATTTTGGGAGAGTGGGAGCTCCTCTGGGCTGGAGCCGTCACAAGATTCCTCTGGATGTCCATGTGGCTGGGGGACCTGCAGACTGTGAGGCTTTATCAGGCCCTATTGGGGGGTTGTCTAGACACCAATTCATTCCCATATGGTTACTGAGGTCTTGCTCCATGCTGGACGCTTTGCCAGATGTTGTTCTTTATTTATGCTCAAGATCATTACTCTGCCCTCTTTCAAGGCTGGGGTCCAAAGGGGTGCCCTATGGATGTGAGATTAACTGTTCTATTAGGTAAAATGTTGGAGGGAGTGGGGTCACTGCTAGTCCTGATGGTACCTTTATGTAAACGAAAAATGGCACCCCTTCCTCAAGACTAGTTCCATCTGTTGGCAAATTACTGCCATAAATATACAAATCGTTATCTTTGCAGTCAACAAAGTGATTATAAGAATACAAAAAAAGATTTTTTGTAAATAATAATATACATACAGTGTGACTGACAGTTTTAGATGTGGCATCTTTGTGCAGTGCACAACCTAAACAACCATACATGGTGGTCCTATGTGCACTGGAAAGGAGGGCTTGGCTTCTCTGTAGGGACTGTGGGAGAAGCAGTCCTTGTAGGAATTCCTGACTCAGCTGGGTTTTCCTTGGTCTTAGGTGCTGTTTTTCCCACCACTGCTGCCTGGAGCAGGTGAGGAAACTGGGCTGCCTGCTTGAGAGGCTTCCTCGGTCACCAGTGGAGTGTGCGGACGGTACAGCCAAGTGTAAGTGCTGTGGGCCTGTTCAGTGAGCTATGCCTTCACTCAGGTCAGGCCTCCCGATGCTTTCCCAACCACGTTTTCGTCCATAATGTGATTTAATACTTTTCTTAACCGTGGGGCACACTTACTCCCTGATCCTGCTGAGGGCACGGAAGTTCAAGAGGCTAAGTCAGCTGCCGAAAGTCAGAGCTGGGTAGGAGCAGACCAGGAACAACAGAGCCCATGCTTGTGGAGTACCTGCCACGTGCCGGCCAAAGCTCTCAAGATGGACTAACAGAGTTAATCCTTCCAACCATCCTGTGCAGAGGCCCCCGAGTCCTCCCTTGACGGAGGAGGCGGCCGAGGCCGAGGTCACACTGTAGAAAGAAGTTGGTGGTGGGAGCAGGAGTGGGGCCTGGACTCTGCCCTCGCTCAGCAGCGGCAGGGACCTCCCTGCCTCCTTGCGTGCAGGACCACGTGCACCTGTCACGTCCGGGAGCCCCGTGCCACTCCCGCACTCACTCACTCACTCATCTATCCCACACGCCTTTCCTGGGAACTAGGAAGGCACTGAACAGGCACGATCCCTGCCCCAAGTCCCCCACAGCCTGGAGGACAGACAGTCGGGCAGGTGACTGCTCTCATCCTGGGTGGAAGGTGCTCACCGGAGTGCAGAGGCTCCGGGAGTTGCGGAGGGGGTCTGAGCCCCCAGAGCAGGACGCGGCGGCGGGAGAACTGAGCAGAGTCAGAATGATGGTGAGGAGGGATCTTAGAAGAGGTTGTCAGGTTCCCAGATGGCCACGCTGGGTGTGGATGTTCCAAGAGAAGTGAAAAGAGGAAAATCGTGGCATTTGGGGAACTCCTGGCAGTGTAAGAACAGAAAGTGGGGGTGGGGGACGGCTGCGGTGCCAGGTGAGGCAGGGAGTATAAGTATGCCCCAAATGGATATACTTTATATGAACATATTGATCTGAAATTCACATTTAACCAGGCATCCCATATTTTATCTGGCAATGTTAAAATAGACTGCACCAGAACTACTTCCATCTGACAAAGGGGGAAGGTCTGGCCCAGAGAAGTAAGGAAGTAAGATATTTAACAGTTCTGTCCAAAAAATATTTTCCGAGTGCCAACTCAGGAAATAGGGGTCAAGGACTGACTTAGGTGCTTGAACACATGGGCTCTGCCAGCAAGGTTCTCCATCCAGCGAGAGGGAAAGGTAAACACAGACACAGTTGATTCATGCACAATGGCATTAACACACACCCTGCTGGGATAGAAGGAGCCACAGGTGGGATCTGATGGGAGCCCACGGGGAGCTATTCCCTTTACCCTGGGGGCTCAGGGAAGCTTTTCTGGAGGAGGGGGTGCCAAGGGGAGTCTTGACAAACAGGTATGAGTTCACCAGGAGAAAGTGAGAATATTCCCAGCAGGGAGATCACGGATGCTGGACGTCACGAGGCTCCAAGATGGTGGGTGGGGGGACAGGGCTGAAGCGGCAGGCAGGCTGGCCACATGCCACCCTACGTCACACGTCTGCCACTCTGTTCTTGCCCTCTAAGGTGTGGGGCAGAGCCTGTGTGCGAAGCTGCTTTGTGCCTGTGACCAGACGGTGGCCGAGTGCGTGGCCTCTGCCTTCTTTAACCAAAGCCTCAAGTCATCGGGCGCACGTGAGTGCCAGGGCCACCAGCTGTCCTGCGAGGACAGCATGCCTGGGGGCCCTGTGGCTTCCTCCCCTGGCTCCAGCTCTGAGGAGGACAGCGAGGAGGCCATGTCCCACACAGAGGGCCGCAGAAGAACCAGAAGATTTCTGGGGAAGTCACTGGGTCCTGTGGGGACTAGGCGACAACATGGCCCCAGAGAGACCCCTGGAGAAAGCAACAAGTGCCCCCCACAATAGGTTCCTCCCATTACTGTCCTCTCTTTGTGCCTCCATCTCTGTCCTCCCGTCCTCAGCACAGGCTCAAAGGGAAAAGAGCTGGTGAGCCCCTTGCATTGTGATGCTTGTCAGCTCGCATGGGAATGTGTTCTATACTTCCTTCAGTGCACCCTGGGAGCTCAATAAAAACTCCAATCAGTGTTCGTTTTGGTCTTGTTTTGAAGAAATGCTGTAGATACTAGTGCATGAGTAAATGCCAAACGTAAGATGACAGAGCCATGGAGCCAAAAATTATCTCCACTCCCTCATCACTGAAAGCTACTTTACCTTCTATTAGGAAAAAAAGGGGGGGTATATATTTAATCAATCTTAGGGGATCACCTGTGGGACACCAATAACCCGAGGATATGTGCCAAGGACTAAAACGACAGCTTTTCTGGTATGTGCCCCTAAAAACACACCTGCCATTCAAGTTATATTCTGAGTGTCCATGTGCCACGGCCACCACCACCACGAAGAAGGTCCCAAAACTTCCAGCCACTGGAATAAACCGTATTAAAAAAAAAAAAAAAAAAGTCGAGGACCCAACTTTTTTTTTTTTTTTAATACGGTTTATTCCAGTGGCTGGAGGTTTTGGGGGTTTAAATGCCCATGCTGACAGAGGCAGATTAATATCATGGTAATTGTAAAAACTTGAAATTATATCCATCCTTCTATCACTCACCAACCCTTTAGAGATTCTCCCGTGTTACCAGGCAGAAGGTAGTGTGTTACGAGAACCTCCCTCCATATTCGACAGGAACACGAAGTCCTTAGTTCACATCACATCCTTGGTTCTCAATCCCCGTAAATCACGTGTCTGGTAGTGAGATGGTAAGAGTCCCTGCCTGCTCCTCAGACAGGAAAGCAGAACCGCTAGAGTTCAGTGCTGCTGACCTTCTCATGGTAGGAAAATATTCTGAAGTTGACAACAAGTTAAGAAATTAAAAGGTCGTGGTGCCAAGCCAATAGCAGACACCCTTCCTTCCTTGCCTTCCAAGGGATTCATGTGGTGAGCACCTTTTTTTTTTAAAAGACTTTTTATTTGAGATAGACAGCGAGAGAGAGCGAGCAGGTGGGGAGGCAGAGGGAGAAGCAGACTCCCCGCCGAGCAGGGAGCCCGATGCGGGACTCGATCCCAGGACCCTGGGATCATGACCTGAGCCGAAGGCAGTCGCTTAACCAACTGAGCCACCCAGGCGTCCCGTGATGAGCACCTTTTGGTGAATCCAACACATTGGTACCTTTTTCACCTGGTGACCTTTTTTTTTTTTTTTAAGATTTTATTTATTTATTTGAGAGAGAGAGAATGAGAGACAGAGAGCATGAGAGGGAGGAGGGTCAGAGGGAGAAGCAGACTCCCCGCCGAGCAGGGAGCCCGATGCGGGACTCGATCCCGGGACTCCAGGATCATGACCTGAGCCGAAGGCAGTCGCTCAACCAACTGAGCCACCCAGGCGCCCTCACCTGGTGACCTTAACTAACCACCAAAGCTGGGTTCTCCCAGAAGTGACCCCTCTGACAAGAACTCGAGAGCAAGTTTAGTTGGCAAGTGAGGGAAAGCCTGCGTGGAGGCCGAAGAAATAGGGCAGGAAAGGTAGCCAGTGAAGGATGCGTTACCAAGCCAGTTACAACTAGAATACCCTACACACCGCGAGAGGAGAGAGGTGGGGACATCAGCTTCTGTCACATCAGCCTTTACTCCCGGGGAGGGGCCTGCTGCACACGGGAACAAAGCAGGCTCCGTGGCGGAGAAAGCCCTCAGGTGCTTCAGCCAGCCAGCGGGCATCCAGTGGCAGAGGGGCCACTGACTGCAACTAGCACACGGCTGGCTGGCTCCTCCCTCCTTCAGCCCGAAGCGAGGCCCCAACGGTCCAGTCCCACCGGCAGTCCCAGTCGTGAGTTCAAGCCCCGAGCCGAGATCAAGATTTGGACGCTTAATGGACTGAGCCACCCGGGCGCCTGAAACACATTATCTTTATACAGAACAGTAAGGCCTGCCCTTGGCTCCAAAGGGTGGGCATCCCTACCTTACTAGAGTCTGTTTGCTAGAACACATTGAGAAGATAGTCCAGAGTAAAGGCTGTTGGTGTCTGCATGCTCACATGACATGCACAGACACAAGAATTGTCTGGCAACAATGGTCTCAGCTAATATTCCACTGAGAAAACTGAAGGTTTCCAACGGGAATGCCCTCATCTTCCTGCTGCCAAAGCTACAAAATTACCTGCAGTCTCTCTCTTCCGTCTTGTTACAATGAAGTTAAGTGTTCCTTATTCAGATCAAAGGTCAATCCCTCCAACTAGGCTCTGTGTATAATGAATGCTCTATTGCCTTCTCGGGTTGGATTCCTTTAAGTACTTCCTTTTTCTTTTTTAGAGACAGAAAGCGCACGCGGGTTACGGGGGAGCGGAGGGGACAGAGGGGAAGGGAGAATCTTAAGCAGGCTCTACGCCCAGATGCAGAGCTTGATCTCACGACCTGAGCTGAAATCAAGAGTCGACACTTAAATGACGGAGCCACCCAGGCATTCCAGTATTTCCTTCTTTAACCAATTTATTCTCTTCTTCTGTATCAATCTTATCAGCATGGAAACATGTCCTAAAATCTCCCATCTTTAAAAATCCCTCGACTCATTAAGCAAGATGGGGGAAGTGTGGAAATTGTCAATCTGATGCTCCTAGCTTTAGTCTCATCCTTAAATGCCAAACTAGATGGTGCTCTGCTGGACACTGTCGACCTGACTCAACATCATCCAACACCTACCTCTTACTCCACACACTGCTGTGTGAACCAGCTGCACATGGGCTTCGACCTGCCTCGTTCAGAGAGGTGGGATCTGACAACGTCTGCCTTCGAACTTCCCTTCTTCGTGCGTTCTGACACAGGACTTCTCTGAGGAGGAAGCATGGGGCACCCTGGGAAACTACTCAGCTCTCAAGCACACACAATTCTGAAATGGGGGGAGGGTTGCTGCTAACAGGCCACCCACGTCCAGCAGGACGGACCTCCAGGCACCTACAGTGATGGACAATTCCTACATAAGTCCTCTTAATGAGCCTTTTCTCCTTGCAATTCACAGTTTCAGGCCCTGGCCGGGTCTGCTGGGATCGCAGCCCAGGACAACCCCTGCGTGCCGGCCTCTGTCTTAGCACAAGTTGTCTTAAAGCAGAGCCTACGGCTCAAAGCGCAGGTAACTGGCAAATTTTATAGCAGGAGTAGGAGGCGGCGCCTGAAGTTCTACCTTGGCTCTACCTTTTCACTCATGTGAACTTGGTGCTTGAAATCAGTATCTATCAGAACAGCTGACAGGGTCCGACCAGTTAAGGCTGGAAAGAAAGCATGCGATACAGCACGAAACACGGACGCTCCTTCTACACCGCAGCTTCCTGGAGGTGGAATAAGCAAACCAGGGTGGCACAGGGAACCAGAGCCACTATTCTTTTTCTTAGATCCTTTGTGTAAGTTATACAAGGAGAGAGGGTTGAGATGCAAACATTAAAACTGAAGCAGAGAAGGCAACTGCACTTTCCCAGTTCACACTACGTGCTCTGCCTTCACCGCATCTCGCCGTGACCAGCAGTTATGGTTCTGATTCTCCTTCCATGGAAGTGAGGATGCATCCACGCGGCAACCTGATTTTTACCCAAGCTCTTCATTTTTAACTAAAGCAAAATATTAAATAAACTTAATATAGTAAATGTAATAATTATAAATGTCCACGTATCCAGAAGTAATCTGATTTTGTTTTATTGCTTATATGTGAATTGCAAAGTGAATTTTTACATTTCAAAAAAAATCACCTTGTTACATTTATTACATATACTGGCATGAATAAGACAAATGAGTTCCATGTTCAGATAGGAGGAAGAGAAATGTTAATTGCTGGTGAAGTGTGGTATTATTCTAAAAGATAATGAGTTCAGAAGCATTAAGGGGTGTTTGTGTTGTGTGCACGGGCATGTGTGTGTGTATTCAGGTGAATTCCAATGACAGTCGAACTCTTTATAAGCACAAAGTCAACACAAATATAAGGAATGTTTATATGTTAGCGATTCAGTGTAAAGGAAAAAAACAAAGCAAGTGTATGCAGCAAAAAGAGAATGATTAACAGTTTATTAAGAGTTTTAAATATCTACAAAAATATAGCCATGTGGTGAACTTCAACAAATCCTAAACTTTGTCTCCAAACTGGCTAGAATACGGAACACACACCCATTACCTGGCAGGATGTCCTGCAATCTCCTGGAAAGGACAAACCAAAGAAAAGACCCACTTTTTGGGAATCATTATTAACACAACCAGTTCAGTCATCTAGGACATATAGAAGTCTACTGTGATTTAAAAACAACAACAAGAAAAAAACCCTGCAAACCCCACATCAACAGTTTACAAACAGACCAAAAGAAAGGTGTGATCAACATTAATTCAAATGGTTTTCCTTTACATGCAATACATGCATTTCTTGTACCACAGAGAAACATGAAATTCTGTAAAGTTTGTTTGCATGAGTCCAACTGAATATAGATCTCCTTTACTTACACTATTCAATTATATATATTTTTCATACAAAAGCACACAGTGTTAATCTATAAAATGACATCCAAGTGGATGATGATTGTTTTTTTGCATGTCCCCCTGCTGAGATTTTGTTAAATGCACAAAAATTAATACACTTCTTTAAAAATACAGAAGAAGAAAAAAAGGGAAATAAAAAACAGAAAACTTGGCCTATTATATGATGACACATTTTACCCACTCAAGAGGCAAAGTTACAGTGACAGCTACAAGAAGGCCGTTCAACGCCTGCACTATCATTCTGAAACAAGGTCTTGCTTACCTACATTTAACACACTGCCCAGGAGGGCTGAGTATCATTTTATGGGTTTAAATGACTAGGCTATTTTGCAAGATGTTTCAAGATGCTGTACTTCATTTATTAAAAAAATCTGGGGTATGCTTGTTCTTTTGTTACTTCCTGACCTTTCTGTTTCTTGTACAGGTGCCTAATAATCATAATAATCATAAACTCAAACCTGCCATTCTCACTGTAGGTTTTCAAACAAAAACAAAAGATAAAAACTGAATTAGTGTTATTGCTAAGAATTTGTTTCTAGTGCAGTTTTGATTGTTGCTGTGGTCATAAAATTCAATGAAAATCTTTAAAAAAAAAACTGAATTAGTTTTTGAGCTACAATTTTTGATATGTATATTGTTCTTTGTAAAAAGAAACTGAATCTGAAAAGGCAATACAATTATAAAGAGGTTATTCTATAAAAATGTCCTACGAGAATTTTATAAGACTTGCAAAGAAAGTCATTCATTTTTGCTGTGTGATGGAATTCACTAAAATGTACATAATTTTAAGAAAACACTACAGGTCTCTGAGCACATGTGTAGAGTACACATGTAACCTTGGTAACTTAAATCAACAGAAGCTCACAATGACGATCCTTAGCACGCTTGATTGCTAAAGCCATAGGCACTCTTTTCAAATGTAATACACCAAATCCTCAACAAATGTATACAACTGAACAGTTCAAATCTTACAAATTAAAAGTCCATTTGGAGAATTTTCTGACTATGAAGATTTTAAACAATGCATAATATAAAAATGTAAGTAATGTGCTTTTGATAGAACTCAAAATGTACACACTCTTCACAGGTGAACTAGTAGCTGTTTTAAAAGTCTTTTTTTCCTACACTAAATATAGATCTGATTTCATTAATGGAGCCACAGCAAAATACTACTATAATTTCAAAGTATAGTCTGTAAACGAATACATCTTATGATGTAAAAAAATATTGCACAGTTTGGTATGCCAAGAGTAAGCTCTAAGCTTCTCTCAAGTAGAATGGTCAAACTCTTGGCAGAAAACACAGTATTACAAGAACTAGACACTTTTAAGTATGGCGATTTTAGGGTTGGTCATATTGTGGGACTATTACTCAACAGATGTCTTATTACCATAAACAAGTTGAGGAATGCCTATCACATGTTGTTAGAGATCACAACATCTAAAACGTGGGGACAACAAGCCACAGAACAGTTTTGCAGCCCCAAGATTAGCAACATATTTGTATGTATTTGCTTTTGCAGATAAACAAACACAAAAGCAATTCTATTTCTAAGCAGTTGTGCAGATGTTTAAGAAATACAGTAGACACTTCATACATCTTCAACCCTCTGGAGGCATATGTTTTAAAATTACATGTTTGTGAAAAGTTTAAAATATACTGCTTAACTGTGGAATGGGAGATCGATACATGTCCAACTTCAAAAGCCAACAGGAACTGCAAAAGAAATCCATCTTCTAAAGTATTCTAAATCATGGATGGCTCCACCATTTCTAATGTGGTGTGTGCCAAGCGTTTGGTTGAAGAGAAGTCTCACTGTTATTCTCAAGCATTATGTTAATACACATTAAGTAAACCCTGAAAAACTCAGCGTGGCCTTCATTTTTCGGCTTTAGATCCTACGCTGAGGTCTTCATGAGCCACTCAGTACACACACAGATCTGGAAACTTCATCTCGTAGACTGGGATGGACTGGTACTGGGCATGCCCAGAAGTAATGGTCAGTGTTCCTGATGGACTGGGAGGAGGGCTGTAAGAGAGAACAAGCACGGTCAACAGGTTCACTGGAAAGCTGTTCATTTCACAGAACACTCTCCTAACTGCATGCAAACAGCTGAGTGAGACACCCAGCGTCGCTGCTGGCTAGCTACAAGGCTATGTGGGGCAAAAGATCACAGTGCTATCAAGCTGTTCTTAAGTCTGAACCAGACATTTTCTTTTGAGTATGTGTGTGTGTAATTTTTTATAATAGGATTACACTATACCATTCTGGTAAGCTTGCTCTGCTTCACTAGCAGAAAAATCTTTCATACGTACACATATTGTCCTTTTTGCTGACAGCATGGTATTTCATTATGTGGATACACTGTAAGGGTATCTGATCTAATCCAGTGGATAAATGCAGGTTCATTTCCATTTTCCAGTATTATAAATAATATTCAGAGGTCTACTCTTATACACACATCATTTTATCCTGATTGTCTCTAGGTTTACAGTCTTACAAACACAATTTCTTAATCAAAGCATACTCAAATTTGACTTTGATATATATTGCCAGAATACTAGGAATTTATACATTCAACACTGGAGTATATTTGTTCTCTTTTTCTTCTTTTTTTTTTAAGTCTTTGCCAATCTGGCAGGCAAAAGGGGATTCATTCCTATTTTTATTTTTAATTTTTGGGTTACTACTAGTGCTACATATCACAAAGATATCTACAAAAGATTAAGTATCCATTTTGTTTCTTTTAAAACAAATTGTCTATTTGAGTCCACTGCCTATATTTGTACTCAGATGTTTTTCTCTTATCAATATGGGAAACTAATTTTTTTTGTATGATATTAATGCGTTTCCACAATTGTACTATTTGAGTCTCAACCCTGTGTTTTGGGTTTTGTTTTGCCAAATGCTTAAAAATCTTACCAAAAAATCACTTATGATATCTTCTGACTAAAACTATAGATTCATCTGCAGAGAACTGGTGTCTTTAAGATACTAATTTTCTATTCAAAGCAAGGTGTGAGTTTTCATTTATGATGTATTCCTATGCATATTTCAGAGATTTATAGTTATTTTATATAAGTCATATTTAGTTCTTTGAGTTTGTTAGTGTTTTATAGTTATGAATCTTTGGGAATACATTTTCATACATTCATATAGTAATGACTACATGACTACTACATTCATATAGTAATGACTTTAATGTATGCACAAATATTAACTTCATATTAACTGTCTAACTGTAAACTGTTCTTAAGCTATTCAGTTGTTTCTATTTTCCTAATATATTATTCTATTTCTGGCAACTAATAATTATTTTGCAATCACCATTCCAATAGTTGTAATATCCCCCCCTTTTTTTACTGAGGGATAATTTTCAGAGTGAAATGCACAGGTTTTAAGTATACTGTTTGACAAGAATTGACAAACATATACACTCGTGTGATCATACCCCAATAAAGATAATGAACATGTTCGTCATTCAAAAAAAGTTCCTTTGTGTCCCTAGTCAATTTCTCCCTACTCCCAGATCCCCACACCCAACAACCATGTTCTGACGCTATTGCTGACGATTAGTGTTGCTTGTTCCTGAATTTCATACAGTCTATACACACAGCCTGTAAGAATGGTCCATACAAGCTACACTCTTTTATGTCTGGTTTCTTTTGCTCAAGATGTTTTTTTAACAACAACAAAAAAAATGTGTTCCTTTTTATTGAATAGTATTTCACTATATTAAGAATATCACTATTTGTCTATTGTCTATCCACTCTCCTGTTGATGAACATTTGGTAATTATGAAAAAAGCTGCTATGACATTCATGTACGTATCTTTCTGTGAATGTAAGTTTTCATTTCTCTGGGTAAATAAATACTGAGAAATGGGATTACAGGATTAAAAGCAGGTATATGTTTAACTTTGTAAGAAACTGCTAAAATTTTACAAAGTGTTTGTACATTTTATATTCCCGTGAGCACTTGTAGAGCGTTCTTCTATAATGTCCAATATACTGTTAGGCTCATCCTATGAAATTCTTTCATGCACTGTATCACTCTGTTCTTGCATTATGAGCTGGTTCTTTTTTAGTTTCCTCTTCTCTCCTAAAACATGTGTATATTTCTCTTTAAATTCTTTAATGTACATGTGTGTGTATTTTTAGGTCCTTGTCTACTAATTCCAATAACTGGATCATCTGTGGGGCTGCTTACTCCCCTTACTGTATTTTCCTGCTTCTTTGGATTCCTTATCATTTTCTTTATTGCACTAAGATCAAAGGGAATGAAAGGACAATGGAGACTGAAGTGTAAGAGTTTGTTCTGTTTCTTTTCTTGAGAAAACAAACCCTTTCCTCTGTCTGGTGGTTAGAGTGTACGCCAATGAACAAGAGGAAATATATCAAACAAGAACAAAAAGCTCTGTATCATGTAAGCTATCCAGAACTCCTCCTTCCTAACTAGGTGACCTTGGATGAGTTACCTAACTTCTATGTGCCTCTGTTTCTATACTTGCCAAGTAAAATTAATCACTACCCTTTTTAAAGGTCTGTTATAAACATTAAATGAAATAATGTACTTAGTATAGTGCCTAGAAAAGCAGAAGTGTTCAATAAATAATAACTATTAGTAGTAAGTGCTCAATAAATGCTATTAGTAGGCTTTGGAGTACCGATAAAAGAGAAGTAGTCATAATCCTTATTCTAAAATATTCAATCCATATAGCCATGACGGTGTGACTAAATGTAACAAGGTGGGTCCTAGCAACATTCCTTTTAAGAACAGAGTTATGGATTTGAATTTTTATTTTTCCACTCAGTAGCTGGATGACCTACAACAAGTTATTTCTCTAAAGCCTCAGTGTTTTTACCGAGAAAGCAAAAAAAAATAGCATCTACCTATATTTTCAGGACTGTGGTGAGAATTAGCAAAAATAACAGATAGAAAACATGCAGAGTAAGATCCATTATAAAATAGACCATAACTATTATAATTAACAGCACCAAGTAAGTAAATGCCCACAGCCATCAATTTTCTCTGAATCTAAGGTATATCACATATTGTGTATTATAGTCTGAATTTCTGTTCTGAAATTTTTTAAATGAGTAATTCTTAGCTTAGTGGGGGTGGCAGGCTTGGTGGGGAAATGCCTAGAATAAGAGGTGTACTGATGAAAACATGCCTTGCACAGGACAGCCGAAAAAAGAATGAACTAAAAAAGCAAGTGGACGACAACGTGTACCTGTCTCTCCTATTTATAGAATCCTGTGCTTGAAGCAAAACAGACTTAGCTCATCAGGTTAAAAATATAAAACATACAGCTGATGTATAAAAAAAACTCCAAAAGCACAGCTTCGAACTATGCCTCCTCCACTGTGCCACCTCAGACAAAGGCCAGTGTCCACACTGAGGTCACAGAAGGACGTGCATAAACACTTTCCCTAGAGGGAACCTGCTGTTGTCTCTCCCTCGGTCTTGTGCTTCCCTACTTCAGCACCAACAGACAGAAGTATGTAACCACGTGTCCAAGTATGTTAGATGCCATATGTTTGGGACATAAAGTTACAACAGGACTGCAATGGGATATGACTGAAGAAAGTTTAATGATTAAGTGAGCCATCTGCATAGGGAGAATCAGTCTTGCCCTGGAAAGAACCATGAGGTTGAACCATATAAAACTGCATTTTTTTGCAAATGAAAATGGTTAAATATGAGAAATTACCTGGTTAAACATATCATTAGAATGTGAGTCTTCTAAATTACCCAGATTTCCTTATCGGACCACGTGGAAGGAAGGAATGATCTAAAAAGGAAAGCTAGGACAGCTAGGAGACACTTAGAAGCAATGCTATCAAGGTCTGTCCAAACAGAATAACCCCCAAGACAGAGGCACCTCTGTGATCTTGTGTTTGCCCTAACTGAAAACCACTATTACTTCAACATGATCAGCCACAAATCTACATGGGGGTTTAACAATTTCTATTTTGTTGTTATTTTATCACTGTTGTAGTAATAAAATCCTTACCGTATGGTGAGTTCCAGTATTTGAGCAAGTCTATCATGAAGCAAATTTGCCTACAAGGAGAAAAAAAAATGTTTAAGAATGGATTTTTTTATTTCCCAAATATCCATCTGTACTAATGCAAATGCAATTTAAAGGACAAAGCATAAGTGCAACCACGAAGCTGATGGTACAGAGCGCTTTCATGTTTTGGCTTCCTCTGTCCCATCCACTGGAATTTAATGTCAAGTTTCTCTTCCACTTCCTAGCTCACTGGGAGAAACAAACCAAGAGACACATAAAACCAAATACCCATAGCCAAGTCCCTGAAACCCACTACACAAGAAGTACCACAGCAGCAATGATCCTCAACATTCAGTCTGGGAGCTGCCTTCTCCATCGACTTGTACTACACACACAGATCACTGAGGCCTCCCAGCCAGGCCACCAGGGTTTTCAGTCCCCACCTGATACATTCCCGTGTGTTCTGTGGATCTGCACGAAGCGTGGAACCTACCAACTAATGACCAAGAAGATGTCCACAAAATCAAACTCTTCCCACATCCCCTTTACTATTTGTTCACTTACTTTGGATTCACACTGTGCTGCTATTTCTTCAAAAGGTGCTTTCTGGAATTTCTCTATCACAAGACGCCTCTTTTCCTTTTCCTGTTCTTCCGTTCCACTGGTATCTATATAAATGTTTACAAAGACCCATTAAAGGGATTACAGATTTTCACAGAACCTTGCCATGACCATAAAAGCAAACACTCTATAAATCAAAAATAAAGGTTATTTATAGGACTAGTTTTAAAAGGAAAAAAGCAAAAGACTGAACATCCCTGAAATGTCTATAAGGCTAGAGAGCAGATATACAAAACATTTTTTTAATCTAAGGGTTAAAGCTACATAGTACAAGATCCTTTCTCAAAGACCACCTTTGTCTCTCTTCCCAAAAAAGCAGGAGAATGACAACTTCCTGCAAGCCAAACAACCTCAAGACCCCACCTGAAAGATGATTCTTGTATGAATACTCATGCCTTGGTACATGAGATACTAAATTAAAAGTCTGCTGAACTTGATACTGAATGGTACAGCGGAAATACAGAGCAGCCATTTGGAACGTATTGTTTCAGACTTTTGCATTTATTTCCAGTTTGAAAAGACATGTTTTATCTTAAAATGATGTGTGGCCTGACCAAAGTTTGTGAGATAGTAAAATAAATAAATGCCTGTTACATCTGCTTAAGAATATGGAAATAGGCCTGATTTATGGCTTGTTAATGGTCTACCGCAACCCCCCAGCAATTCTTCAGGTTGTTTTGTTTTTTTGTTTTTTTTCCTGGTCAAGAATTTCACAGGATGAAATACACAGTGTTCTACGTTCTTTAATCCAGGCTGCTTTTCAGGTAGACAAACTGTAGGTTATAATTAGCTAGTTTTAAAAAGTGGAAATAGAAATAGCAGGTAGAAAGGAAACAGGCTATTACAGATTTTTCCTTTGAAACTGTGGCAGGTTAAAATAATTGAAGAATTTATACACTTCTGAATGACTAACAGAGAATTATGATCACCTCTCTGTTGTTCACTAGAACAGGGTAAGCAGCTCAAATGGCCAGAGGCCAGGCGGGACACATAAATGTTTACATTAGGTCAGGTAAAAGCAGTAGGAAATAAGGGAACGTGGGCAAGATGAGGTAGATACACCCTGGTCTTATGTCAATTTCTGAAGATACTTCAAACTAAATTTGGCCTGTAAGCAGCAAGTCTGTTTGCCATGCATTAGGCAGTTCTCAAGCTTTTTGGTTTCAAGAGTCCTTTCCTTTACATCCTTGAAAGTTATGAAAAAACCAAATCGTTATATCCATTGATACTTTCCATATTACAACATAAAACTGAGGAACTTTAAAAACATTTAATTCCTTTAAAAATAATTCATTTTAAAATTATGACACCATTATATGTTAACATAAATAACATTTCTTTAATGAAAAAATGACCATACTTTCCAAAGTGAAAAAACTCAGTGAAGAGAATGGCATTGCTTTGTATTTCTACAAATCTCTTTAACGTCTTGGCCTAATAGAAGGCAGCTGGATTCTATCTGCAAATGCATCCAAACCACTGCAGTGTGTTATTCTGGTTGAAGTATATAAAGAGATATGTACTGGGGGAAAGAGTATTTTAATAGCCTTTCACAGAACTGTGGGTATTTTTTTCTTGGACATTACAACACAATTTGAAAAGTGGTAGTTTTGTTAAAAGTTAGCTGCAATACGAAATTTGAAATCTTACTAATAAACTTTTTGTAACTGGTTATGGTAAAATCCATTGGTCTATTTTACACTTTGAATAATCTTTATTTATGCATGATTTTGTAACATCATGCAATAGTCATGTGGAATACTGATCCAGTGATTTATGCAGGTCCTCTAAATGTAGACATGTTTCATTATACAAGATTTTTAAAATCATATTTGGTAGTTACTACCACTGATCTCATTAGAAGCGTCTAAATATTTGGGTGCTGTCAAACTCACAATAGCAGACAAAAGTCAAAATTTTATTTTGTTCAAAGTGCAAATTTTATCATTAGAAGCAAATACAGTGAGGATGGTTTTGTTTTTCCTCTTAAAGTCACAGCTTTGTTTCATTTATTTTCCAGAAAATGCCTACCAAATACCATAGGTTTTCTGTCAGTCTTTTTTTCTTTCTTTTTGAAATAAAAATGGTGTTCCTTATAAAAATCGACCAGTTCAGGGGTGCCTGGGTGGCTCGTTCGGTTAAGCAGCCCACTCTTGATTTCGGCTCAGGTCATGATCTCAGGGTCATGGGACTGAGACCCGTGTTAGGCTCCGTGCTTGGCAGGGAGTCTGCTTGAGATTCTCTCTCTCTCCCTCCCTCTGCCCCTCCCCCCACCGACTTGTGCACTCTCTCTCTAAATCTTTAAAAAAAAATCAACTAGTTCAGCTTGCAAATCAAGGCAATCAAAGAAGTGCTTTATGTGTACTTCCCAAAGATACGTACCCATGGGTTGAGATTTAATAAAATAATTTACAGTAAGAGCATTCCTAAATAAAATCTCATTTTAAAGTAACTGTGTGTGTGTGGTACTAAAGAATATGATCACTGCTAGACTAGTGTGATGCTACGGTCTCCTTCATTCCTGTTATCTGACGTAGTACAAAGGCTAACAGTGTAAAGACACTGTTAGGTGAAAATATTTTTTGCTTGAAGGATCCCTTGAAAGAGCCACCACAGGCTACTGAGGGATCCACAGACACACTGTGAGAACCACTGTCCTAGACTGTAAATTTCTCAACATGTCCTATCCTGTTGTTACTGTTATTTTTAAGTAGGCTCCATGCCCAACATGGGGCTTAAACTCACAACCCTGAGATTAAGAGTCACATGCTCCACCAACTGAGCCAGCCACGCACCCAATGACGTCCTATTAATCTTTAAACATCTCAAAATATACTGCATATAATGGATGTTCAAAATTGCTTACTGAATTCAATTAATTTTATTTTGGTAAATTTGACATTGTATTACAATAATTCAAAAATCCTCTAATGGATTAAGCCAAAAAAGGTCAGATTTTACTTCATGGATGATGGGTGCTAGAGCACTCCACTTTCCTTGATACTAATTTTTTTCTTCTAACAGCTCTGAAAAGATGAGAGCCCATTTCCACCCTATATTGCTTTACCAGTTAGAATAACTGAGAACAAGGTATCATTAGCCTAGCAGTAATTTATATCAATACTTAATTGAAAGAACCGTTTTAAAATTTTAAAAAAGAGGCAAATCATATAAAACTTATTTCCATAAGGGACAAAGGAGAAAAAAAATCAGTAATATTTTATGCAAAGTAAAAAGATTACAGTCAGTCAAATGTGGGTACGAAATCTGGCATCAGCATTTACTTGCTATGTGATCTCAGAAGAGTTTGGTAATTTCTCTGCACCGATGATCTCACCGATAAAACAGCAAGAGTTAACATGGTCCTCTCTCATGCCTACCTGCTAACAATCTCAGCCAGCTCCTTTCTCCTACCCCATTAGAAACACGCCTCTAATCACACTACTGTGTGCCTGTTAGGTTACTCAATTTATTCAGAATTTTCATCCCCCCATGTCCTACAAAAGGAAGCATGCTATTTCTCCTAAGAAGTTCGAGTAGCCTGCAGGTTGGCTACCAAATAAGTGTGGCATTAAAATATACTGACGTGCTTTCTTAATTCTAGGACAGTCACTGTACAGAGCAGAACTACCTCTGATAAGACAGGACAAGTATAAGTCTAAAAAACAGCTGGGGGGCGCCTGGGTGGTTCAGTTGTTAAGCATCTGCCTTCAGCTCAGGTCATGATCCCGGGGTCCTGGGATCGAGCCCCACATCGGGCTCCCTGCTCAGTGGGAAGCCTGCTTCTCCCTCTCCCACTCCC